GACACAAAATGGAAAGTCATTTCTGAAATCTGGCCCTTAATATCTAAATGTTCTTCCTCATGACAACTTTTCTTGCTGCCACATTATCAGACTCCACATTTTTACCGTAATCTGATGCTGAAAATATTGCACTCATGGCTACTACTATTTAGCACTTCCAGTATGTTTTTCATCTTCAAAGTGCTATAAAAGCTATGAGTGCCAAATTCTGCTCTGCATCTCCTAGTGATGTCAGGGGATATTTTGACTAAGGACAGGACCCACAATTTTTAAAATGAAGGTGTGCACAAGATAACGGATGGCATTAGAATAAAAGACCAATACCAATGCTTCTGATATATATCAGTTTTTTTCCACTGACAACCAAGAAGCAAAACATTTCAGTAAATACACTGAACTCCAAGAATGAGTTGGCATGAGGAAGGTTTACATTTGTATATAATGTTCATGAAACCTGACCAGAGAATATTTCTGATCTAGTAAATGTTCCTTGGACTCATCATTCCTTCCAGACTGTCCCATGGCAATGAAAACCAATTTATGATGGGAAAAACACAAACTAAAATACCCTGGTATCTTAATGAATATCTGACTTCAATCTTTATCATCTGTTCTTCTACCAATACCAAATGCCAGTAGGGTTGTATTTCATAACTAGGACAGTACAAAGGATTAAGTGATTCATCGATATGCTTATAAATGAGGCAGCAGGCACTTGATACGTTTTTCTCATCATTTTGACATTACTAGTTAACACTGCTTATAGTACTTTAACTTACCACAGAGGAATAGGATCACTGCACAAAGGATTACTCTACAAATGAAGGCACCTATTTTTTGCTCTTTAGCTCCTTTATAGGCTAGATGAATTAATCACATCCAGGAATTAGGAAATTCATTTACCATATACTATGCAGGCTCAGAATTTTTTATTAAAGGTTATTTGTCCAAGGACGATCCGGATTTCTAATTTGACAAGATAACTTTGTCCCATTATTGGTTGCTGTTGTCAAAAATCAGTTAATTAGAAAAAACAGTATTGTTGTTTGACTCTCCTTCAAGGTTCAACTGACTGGCATGTCTAAACCTGAGGTGGAATTAGAGTAGGCCCCAACTGTTGTTTCTGTGTAAACCCACTGAATGGCACCGAGCCTGTCTCTCCTCCCCATTTTTTTTTCTGCATGTCTCATTTCTTGTTTCTTCCTTTAGGATGAGGCCAGCCGCTGTGGAAGGAACTCGATTAGTGCCACGCTACTGAGCAGAACCCATTTCCCACAGGCAAGCTGACAAGGACTGGAGCTTCCTAGTTAGCTGCATTCCACCAGTGGCGTCTCTGGGAAAGCACTTATGCAAAGAAACTGGCGCTGATCCAGTTCTGCTGGAGCTAAAGCAGGCTGTCCAGGGAGATATTCCGGGGGCTTTACTCAGCCCCGAAGGCACATTGTCGCACATATCACATCTATGAAGCTATTTAATACCTTGGATCCCTCTTTCATCTCCCTTTTCATTTCCCCCTACTCTCTTCCTTGCTTCCAATGCTTTCCCCAATCATTTTTCCTTGCTCTCCTTTGTCTCCTCTCCCCTTTGTGCTTTCTCTCACCCCCATTACCCATGGCAAATGGGGGCAGACAGATGTGCCAGGTGCCCTCTCTGTTCCTTCGAATCCTCCTTGTTCAGCTATTCCTTTTCCTCTTTACTCCTAATCAATAACTCCACAAACTTCATTTCCCTTACCATGGTCCTGAGTTTATCTGGTGTTATTTTGCTGGTAAGCTATGTGGGATAAGGCACATGTCCTATTTATTTATGTCTCTGAAGCACCAAGTAACTTTACCACCCTCTCACTTTTATAATGAAATCAATAAATAGTATTGTCAGCACTAGTTAAAAATCTTGTTTCTCTCTGGTGTATATGTCAGCTGAGAAAACACATTCAGGGCTGAAACTTGGCATGTAAACCTCTAGTTTAGTAGTAAATTAATGCTTTTAAATTTCAGAAGTTACATAACTGTAAAAATATATAAACCAAAAATGTTAGAAGTGGATGAGTTGAAGATTTTTTGTGTGTGTGCTTATATAACTGCAAAACTACTTTGATTTAAAAAAAAAATGTTTTTGGCAAGTACCTATTCCATAATATGAACTAATCACTATTGGTACAATTAAAAAAAAAAAGTTTAATACGTACAAGACAAATGCAAAGTTTCAGAAGGATATTTTCCACACAGACTTAATCAAGTGACATGATGTCTGTTCTCATTTCTTGTATATACATGAGACACTATTTTATAACACAGAGGTTCTGCTTTTTCTTTAAACTTCCCCCTAACCCACAGGAAATAAAATGCAATAAACAGTTCTGTATAAAAGAAACAGCAAAGAGCAAGAAGATTCAAAGTCTATATGCATCCGAGGAAGTGGGCTGTAGCCCACGAAAGCTTATGCTCTAATAAATTTGTTAGTCTCTAAGGTGCCACAAGTACTCCTGTTCTTTTTGCGGATACAGACTAACACGGCTGCTACTCTGAAACCTGAAAGTTTATATTGACCCACAATCTTTCACTCATTTTTTTTTTGATGGGGTGAAGACAGAACAATAATATGAATTAAGGCCAAAGTGTTAACCTACCCTTTGTCTTTCATGTCTTTTGTCTTTCATGTCACAATTTAAATGTTATTTCAACTTAGGGGTTGCAGCCTGCAAACCCTTACTCAGATGAGTAGGATGCTCTCATGAATAAGCATTACTCATGTGATTAAAGTTTTATAGCATCAGTCCTAGTTTTATCAGATGAGATCAGATTCAATAAAAGTTGTGGAAATCTAGTTCATTTAAAAAAAAGGTGTTAAACATAGTTTCAGATACTACACGTGTTTCCACATGTCCCCGCTGCCAATTTTTGTGGTCTTATTCTCTTATTTTTTCTATTTTTAAAAAAAGATTTCCCTCTTTTTCTTATTGTTGTGTGAAAGACCATTCTGACAGGGTGAAAAAACTGCCAATACAGGGGAAACAGAGAAATTGACTATAAACCAAGTGTTGTCAAATGCTCAAAGTAAACATACTGGGGGGGGGGGGAAAAAAAAAGGAAATTATGTTTTTCTTTCCTCTCTTTCAGTTACAGTAATCTTAGGAGTGGCTTATAAAAATTATAGCTAGAGCAGTTTCAGATAAAAATGCTCCAGGGGTGAATGTTTTTGGAAAGTATGAGCAAAATCCGGACACTTATTTTTCAGTTAGGAACAAAACATTTCTATTTTAAAAGATTTTAAGATCTGTTTTCTATGCAAGTACAATTCAAAAATATCCGAACACTACAAGTGGTGTATCCTCCTTCCTGAAAAATAGTAACTAGGGCCCTGGTCCTGCACAGACTTACACATGTTTATCTTTACACACTGTAGGCCAGATTCTGTATCACTAACATCTGTGAGAGTTTTGACACTGACTTCAATAGGGGCAGGATGGGATCCTGTGAGCAATCCCACTGACTTTAACAGAATTACTCACAGTGCATGAAGTTAAACACGTGCTGCATAAACTTTTGTATGACCGAAGCCCAGAAAGAAAAATAAAGGATAAGAAATGAAAAAACAAACAAGCAAACAAAAGGGTGTGTGTGTTGGAACATGACTAGCACAAATATTCCCATTAAGTTTTCAGTGGATATTATTTATGTGATTATGGAATCACATAATAAATATAAATATCAATTTTAATTCCATATGTGTGGTTTTTCCGCTGCTATTTCTATGTGTAGCTACAAAACTGACTAAGCGGTTGGCTATGAAACTGGAAATACACAGCACAAGCTGTTGAGTGATTAATGTTTTACTGTTCAGTGATTGTTAGTTATGCTGTTAAATGTAACTTGAACATACAATGGGCCCAAACCTGCCACCAGATATATACACATAGCTCCACTTGACTTCAATGGGAGTTACAAAGGGGTATCTGAGGGCAATTTTGGTTCTGATAGGTGCAAAGGGAACATGTTGCAATTACTACATGACAATCAAGTTCTACGTTTCCTCAGTTCAGAGTGTTTCAAGTCCCAATCCTACAACTGCATGTGCAGGTGGACGTCCCTATGCTTGAAGGATCAAAGTCAAAAATGCTAATCTTAATGGAACATTAAGATACATTTCTGCAGTCTGTACAATCTATTTAGATAGCAGATTTAGGGTATATCTTCACTCCGGAGTTGAGTGATTGAGTTAACTCCCCTTAAATTAGCCCAGCTCCAGCGAGAGCAGTCACACTGCGAAATAACATTGGAGCTGCACAGAGGGGTTGTGTCAGCAGCTGATGAGTTGTGCTAACTTGAGATGTAGTCTAAGCCAGTGGTTCTCAAACTAGGGCCGCTGCTTGTTCAGGGAAAGCCCCTGGCGGGCCGGGCCGGTTTGTTTACCTGCCGCGACCACAGGTTCGGCCGATCGCGGCTCCCACTGGCCGCGGTTCGCTGCTCCAGGCCAATGGGGGCTGTGGGAAGTGGCGGCCAGCACGTCCCT